AAAGGCAGTGTATGTATACGGCGGTACCGTCGAATACGAAAAACCGACGATTTTTTTTCGGCAGTGGGATTTTACATTAATCCGTGCACTTTACACTATGCTGTTGTTGGTAAGCCGCCCTTGTCTGTTACCGACTGCGATACACGGTCTTTCGTACCTTGCGAATACATTAAGAATTTAGTATTTATTTTACAGGTTATGTTCCCTCGGTAAAATCTAGCACATTTTCGTGGTGATAAAGCGAATCCAACACGGCTGGAAATAAATACTTACGAGCAATGGTGAATAGATTGGTACTCACCGTTGAGGGAAAGTATACTGTAATTAAATATACGTTCGAAGGTATCGGTCCTAAACTTAGGCGAGAGAATGTCGCGTCAGGACTATTGGCCATGATCCAGTCGCCCTCGGTAGCAAATGGTGCTCGTCGTGCATATACCCGTATGGAAACCGGAGTGAACGCATTACACGCAAGCGACGACTCGTACTCGATGAAGATGTAAGGGCCGTATTGTGTCCTGCGCCGCCGAGAGAACTCGAGTGGGGGGGGGGGGGTGGTGAGGCGCAACTACTAACGCATGGGGTAGATCCCGCCGCGGATAGTGCTTTATTTCATCAAAGGGACAACAAGGAAGCCGAGATAACGCCGCATGCTACGCGCCCAGAAAGGAGCACTTCGGCCGTAGGAGTATGCGCGACGACGGTGGCGGGTACGCATGTATCGCCGTTTTCGATGATCCATAATCGTCGACAGAGACGCAATAAACCGGGAATGAGTACCTCAAGACACAACGCGAAAATTTCTGGAAACTAGAAAAGAAACACTGGCTACATTTTCGTCCCGACACGTGACACCAGAGGAACATTTGACAATTTATAGTATTCAAGATGGCCGCCGTCCGCCAGTTTTCAGTGGAACCTAATCGCGCTCTCGCAGAAAACGTTCCAACGACAATTGAAAACCTTCGGTGCTTTGCATCCTTTTGTATTCTTTTTTATATCCTGTGATATAAAAGAAACTATTACACAAAAGATATTTAAAAACACATGATACTAATATTTTACTTTGTACTTTAGAGGACGTAGCCATGTTGTAATAGAGGTAATGGAAAGGTTAAGGAAACGTAATTTTCAGCCTAAAAAATCTTACCATAACCTCTTTGCCTTTGATTATTGCGCGGATCTTATTCGTGGATGACGATTTTTAGTTCTTTAGATGCTCAACTTCAATTCAACGATAATCCGTGAAATCTGGTAGGCCGGAAAATGGTAACGCACACCGATTCGGACAAAAGCGGACGGGAACACGACGCGAGAATACGGTCCGAGGGAACGGAAGGGTTGTTTTTACACTTACGCCATGCGGGCTATCGGAAGTATCGGCTTGGTTCGCTGAACCAAACGCAATTTTGATGCGGGTAATGGAAATTAAATGGGCCGTGTGTGTGACCGTGCAAACAAGGGAACTCCAGTGACTGATACACGCCGATTTTGATGCAACTTTATACAAATGTTCATTAGACGTACCTAAAAATTTAGCCGTAATTCGTTCGTGCTCGTCTGTTACTTTAAGGGAGAAATCAACCCTTTTGTCCGAGCTGCTATGTAAGTGCTTATAAATCTTAAACCACAAGATATAAAAAAATTATTAAAATAAAAGTTATACCGTTTCTTAAGGCCTATAAATCTATGTGAACAATTTCTCAACAAAAGGGGGAATTTATTTAAATTATTTTTTCCAAAAAAGAACAAGCAAAAACCATACATTACATTCATGCAGAAAATCGCTAAAACGGTTTCGAGAGTTCAATTTTCATTGTCCAACCGAGCGATCAGAATCCATTCAAGGTTCGTTCAATATGTGGCGGTGGTTTTACAATTATTTTAAGAACACGAGGTTCCGCTGGTCAGAGAGCTCTTGCGTCAAAAAGGAGCCTAGCGTCTCCCAACGAACGGTTCTGTATACCACGTAGGATCCAGATTTCAGGGTGACGATAGAGGTGAGCCCAAAGAGAGAGAGAGAGAGAGGGGGGGGGGCGAGAAAGAGGGGCACACAGAGAGAAAGAGAGAAAGGCAGAACAAGAGCGCGCTGCTCGCTATTGTTTTCTCGAGTGGTACTCGCTGGTTCAATGCTCGCCCGCTCTGGGTAGACCGGGTACCAGATGTACCCCGAACGACTGATTTCAACCCGTGATACCCGTGGTGCCACCGTGTTCGTGCCGATTACGCTTTCCAATTTTCCCCGAGAAAATGTTCGCGGTTGTTGTTCCGGGACAAAGAGGTCGCCGCGTATTTTCAACTGGTCCCCATAGAGAGCTTCGTCTTGCTTTCGTACAGAACGGGCGTTCCTCGAGGAATTAGGACATTTTACCTCCGAGATTTTCAATGTTCAAGTTCACCGTCAAGAAGTGGAGACATATTCGAATGCACCTGAAAACCCTCATCTGTTCCCTACTGCGTCGAAATGGACATTTTATTCTGTTGTGTGTAGGTAAATTTAGCCAAGGCTCCCGTGATTTTTACTTGAAAGAATTTGCAGATTTAACGATTCATTATCTCGTTATGTTAATTTCTTTTCACCACTGTGTGTCGATTTGATACTGAGGGACAAATTGGGAAAATGAGGAACAGACGAAGGTTAGCACTAGTCTAGCGTCAATTAAATTCTTGAAAAAAAAAGATGCATTGACCTTGAAAAACTCAGGGTCACTTTGACATCACAAAAAAATTTAGATATAAAAAACATTAAATTGTATCCATCCGATGCATCCCTTGCTGAATGCTTCTGATGCAATCAATAGGTAACGAGCTTTTTTAGTTAGTTAGTTCTTATCGACTCACCCTGTATATTAAAACATAAATGATTTTTGGAAGTTGAGATTGTGATATTATACATGTGGATTGTTGTCCGGGACAGTTCGGTGGGTCAATGAGAGAGTCCAGTCGACGAACAATTGTAGAACCAATTAAATTATATTTGTCCCAAGTGCATAATCATTACAAAAATGGCCGTCGTGTGCCGCGTGTATCGTTCGCAGGGATATCGTATACATAGTCCCCGTTTTTCGGCCGATTGTGCACCGACGGATAGAGATACACACACGTAACCGATCGGTCGCGCGATCGAGAGTCTCCGTCGACGATTCAACCTTCTCCAAAGCGAACAAAACGTCACCGAAATGCGTTCGTCTTTCCGAGTTTCGTGGATTTTCCGCGAATAAATATATTCGCCGAATTGTTTCAGGTCCCGGCGTTGTGGAGCCTCGATTGTTAACCGATCGGTCACGATGATTACAAAGGTATCTTATAAAAAAAAAAAAAAAAACGTAAAATCGTACACGTTTACACGAAGATGACGGATCGACGATGATCACGGACAGTGTGGATCGGATACTGCGCCCCAAGCGATACGAATACTCGACACAATTGATTCTGCTTGCGATGAAAAAGTAATCCAAAAAAAAAAAAACAGAAGAAAGAAAGAAAACTGTCTTGTCTGATAAATCGGAATTATTTCACACGAGCGAGATAACGAAATAGTTTTATCGATCATAGATTTTAAAAACCTCGCGATAGTACACACAACACGATCTGCTGCTCGAAATCCAAACTCGAGGGGGCCTATAGTCGGAGCGACAAATCCGGTGAGCATTTCAGGGTCCACGTGTTACACTCACAAGTATTGGGACACTTATCGAATACGAGGGAAATGCTACAAGGCATCTCAAAATATTGCTGAAAACCTGTAAATGAATATTGTTCGAGGAACATTAAAGCTCGATGTACAACGTTTACGCTACTGTAAGGCAGAGATGGGCAAGTTCACTATCTAGAAGTTTCGAATAACAAATAAAGGATGAAAGAACAAGTATTTCGCAATTTTTTATTAATTAAACGCGGTAATTCCAACCTTTATATAAAATAATTGTGCCCGTCTTTGCTGTAAGACATTAAACGTGGAGGAAAATGTGTAACTTTTACGAAACATCGCATCATCTTTCACGCAGACCAGGTGTCCTAATACTTACGAGCGGTGTGGCGTACAGATTCTATTTCCCAATTATACTTTCGAAACAAATGACCGATCGCTATTCGTCTCTGCGGTTATTCGAATTCCAATTCAATTCACGTGCGATGTTGGTCGGAAAAAAAATTCAATTCAACTCCGCCCATTTTCGAATCTTTATCGGCCTTATAACGAACAACTGAGAAAAAACACTCTGAATGTTTTTTTATAACAGAGGGTCATTTATTTTCCCCAATAATCCTAACCATTTTGCCATAAAAGAAACAAGCACTTTTATTCATGCGAAATCTCGCTTCCAAAATTCTTAATTCATTAAATTTGTTTTACGATACTTGCCATGAACGAGGCCGACTTGTTTCGAGAGAAAAAATCTTCAGTCGCTCTTTTCAATGAAACGAAAGAAATTCGGGGCAAAATAGTTACGATCGGTAGGCGTATAATCCAGGCGACATTCGATTCGACAGATGTACGCTGCTTCTACTATTCTATATCAGACACACTCGCTGATCCGTGGAGAAACGACTGCTGACTCACACTGCACACACACACTGCACGCACATCGCGCGTTCGTGTGTGTCACACGGGCAAATTTCATAATCCTCTAGGTCGCTAAAAATTGTCGTTCTCGTCATGAAGGTTCGCGAATTTACAGCCAGGAATGGTAAATATTTACAATACGAGAGCCACCTACGATTTCGATGATTTTTTAAAATGTTGTCAAGGTTACCCTCCCGAGTAACCTTCAGAAATACTCAGTTATCAAATGCTGTTTATTAACAAGTTATTTAGAAAACAATGATACCTTGATCTTGAACTATCTTTAACCTACTCTGAATGACTTTGTTCTGAACTGGCTCTAAGCAATTCTGAAACGATTTTTTCTTGAACTGTGTTTAACTAACTCTTAAAAATAATTATCTACCTGTACGTTTTTTTTTTTTTATAATAACTGTTTTACAAACGGCGACCCCCAACTAAAACCTTGACAAAACTAATGAGAATGACGACCTTGATAACAAATCGAAAAATCATCGAAATCGGAGGTGGCTCCATTGTTGCAAATATTTACCCCAGGAATTTCGGGAGAATGGGGGTGTAGGGGATGGTGGAGTAGGGCCAAGAACGTCGACGTATTGCACACATGCGCTCGTTACCTAAATTGGGATATAGGTAAAAACGGGGGGAGAGCAGCGGTGGTGCGATGATTGGCTGCTCGCGACGAGACAACTATCTATCCTGGTCCTCCTGACACGGTGTGTTTTTTCCAGCGTATATTCCCATAAACCACCGCGTTTACATCCGTCTCGTCGAACGACTCGGAATCTCTTCCAACACTTACCGTCTCCACCCGCCCCTGTTGCCGCTTCCGCTGGAGTTACTGTTCCCGTTACCTTGTTGATAATTGGGGGAATAGTTCTAGAACACCGGAAGCAGTCGTGATATTAAATCCCCGTGAAAATCGCATCTTGCTGCACGGGCCTGTTTATGGAGATCAGCGAATCTCCGCGATCGAGAGCGTTCGAGAACATACGTGAATGAGCAGCAATGTATCGGTTAGACAAGATGGCTGACGCTCGACCTACGTCTATGCAAATGAGGGTCGCGAGAGCGTGAGACTTTTGTGACGACATTGGAAATTGCACGAAGTAAATTTTTAATCCTTCAAAGTTCAAAATTCTCTTTTTTTCTTGAACGTGTTTGAAATTTATAATTCTGCAAAAGTTGTGGCCCATTGTAAATATATGTTAGTTACAAAATGATAGTATATACATATGTAGGTACTGGTAGTGGGTTTGATTCAACTGAAAGTTCTTTTTTTTTTAAATTAATATCAATGTTAGCAACGGTTCCTTTCATTTATCTGTGACTTTTCGCCATTTTCCTGACCAAACGATGAATTCCTCTCGTCGATAATGCAAAGTAAAACCGCGACGTCAACGCGATGGCCATTCATTTTTGCATACTCCGAATATTTCAAAAACACTCGATTTTCGCTAACACTAAAGTAGAGTCCGACCAATTGAAATTCTTAGTTGAAAGTCGAAATATTATTGGTACACTGTGGATCCTTATGTAAATTCCGATTTTTCTAGCGTAGATTTGTTCAGACCTAATCTCAATATTTAAAAAAAACTGTAAAATTCATAGTAATATCTACTAAAAACTATCACTACTGTATTCACGATAAACGCATAAAACCCAATTATCGCGATTGGACAAGTAAATGGGATGTATCAAAAATAGACCATTCAGCTCAGGGGTATTAATATTGTAAAAGTTACCCCTCTTTCCGTTCAAGAATAAACGATAAATATATTCGAAATTACTCTCGCCACTTCGTGGTCGATAGTATTCGTCCGGGAAACGGGGACGATTCACTGATTGCTACCATTGAACATGAAGTACGAGAATCTTACCCGTTGCTGCTGATGGTAGCTATTGTACTGCGAGCCCTGATAATTGTTCCGTCCGTACGGCTGAGTGCTGTAGTTATTCCTTTGCTGGTATTCCTGATGCTGGTAACGCTGGTAGCCATGGGGCACAACGTAACCGGCAGCCCACGGACCAGCTGACGACGGGGTGGCCTGGCTCGAGCTAGAGCTCTCGTATCCCCTTTGGTAGTATCCCCTCTGGTAGCCTGGAAAGAAAATCGGGAACGAACGTTTCGTCAGTCTTTTCCTACACCTGTCCGCGATTCCGAGAATTGAACATTTTTGCCGGATATACAAATAATTTTTGTATCCGTTCGGTGGGCGAGTGTATTGTACACATTGGGTTTTATGGATATAACACAAGAACTACGGGACCAGTGAAAATGACGGATTGTAGATTTCGTATTTCACGATTATTGAATTTATAATAGTGCTCTTGGCGGAATTTATGTTGACCTTTAAATTACTGTATATTTTATGTTGTACATTTTTCCACCTACTATAATACAGTGTTACTCATCGATACAACGTGACCAAAAAAACAGACCGACAATAATCGCTGATTCTCCAGTCCCGTGAACCTGTCCGACATACACGGAACAACAAAAATCAAACCTGGGGGCACGCACATTGTCGCGTCAGGAAATCGCTGTCAACGGGCGACGGGAAAAGAAGAGAAAACGTTAAGGGGGACACGTTCACGTGGGTGAATGGGCGGGAGCGTGGCGGCGCGTGTACCCTCCGTGCACCCTCTCCCCTACAGTCGAATAATATGTAAACGCGGGCTGGAGAAACGGAGAGTGTTTGTCAGGAATCGCGAGACGTCATAATGGAGTATAGAGCCTCGATGCTAATAACGGATTTTGCAAGAGAGGCCGCGTGCTTCGGGAAATCACGTACTCGTCGTTACGCCTGTATCCCCCGCCTCCAAAACTACCGGCGAAGAATCCAGTACGCCCACGCGAGAGAGCAGATCCTCGGGAGAAATTCGTGGCAGGAATATAATGACGACGCTGACAAAAGAACAAAACTGGTTACGCGGAAGGGCCCTCCCCCCTTTCCTCTCACAATTGCCGCTAGAGTTGGTCTTTGACTTCGTTCGGTTGAATATTTATGGCTCGGTTTCGAATCGCGGGATCATGCTTTTTAAAATTGGGGGGAGTGAAACTGGAGGACCGACGAGAAGAACAGACAGGGGGTTGGGGGGCACGCAGGCAAGCACTGTTTGATGTGTCCTGACGAGTGGGAATCGATTTTAATTGAATCGATTATAAGCTACCTGCGAAGGAGGCGGATGGTATACCGTGCGGGACCTCTCGGATACCTTGCAGGAAATAGCAACGAGAACCCTCCGGCAGAGGCGGGGATCTGGTATTCATGTATTCCGCGTGCAAGTTCTACTGTTCGGTGTGCTCGTCCTCCAAGAGACCATCGATCCACTTGGTCGGGATAAAAATTGCACGGAACCGACGACAGGATTGGCCCGAGGTATATGCATACCAGGTCGACCCTGTTTCTTTATTTAGGAGGCATTCGTTGGCGTTCTGCAATATGCAAGAGGAGGATCGTGCGTGCTCGGGGACCCTTGGTGGACACCTGTGTATCTTGTCTAAAGTGAAAAGTGAAGACAAAATTCCACGACAATTCTGGACCACCAGAGCTTTACGAAAGAACACTTTCCATCCTTCACCGATCCAAGGAGCAATCATTTAAGGGTTAAAGCCTCCCCCCCCCCGAAACGCCTTCCCCCAAGCCAAGGGGACCCTGAGTCTCTCATAGAGAGACTATCAGTGACGCATGATAATCGTATAGTTCGGTTCAATCGAGCTCGTAATGGGAGGCGGCAAACACCGTCAATATTATCGAGGGGGTCGAAGGGGTGGTCTCCGTGGACTAGTCTACCAGTTATAGGAAGACCCAGGCCCGTTCCACACGGAACGTTGCCACGGCCTTCATCTCTCGCCTCTTTCTCTCTGCGGCAACAATAACATCCCCGTGGATTTCCAGCCCCGACAGGAGGGTGCCCCCGCCGAAACGGTAATCCTCACCCTCGTCCCGACGAAAAAAGAAGAAGGGGCGAGACACGGGGAGGTACGGGGGAGAGAGGTTTTAACAGTTTACACGTCGGATCATCCCTCGTTATTGTTGCGTTTATGATAATAGCAGCCGACTGGCACGCACGCAACCCTCGGCTGACCGCTTCAACCCCATCTCGTCGTGGGTCGTAGAGGGTGATATATACGTTGCCACGCTCAGGTATTTAATTAGACGGGTCCAGGGGGGATGGGGGTGGTGGTAGTTGCTGCAGCTACGAGTATTAATTTCTATTTCCGTGCGCGCAGGCTCTTTGGACCACGTGATGCAATGGACCGAAATAATACCACAAAGGACGATGTTTAAGGGACGATTATCCAGAAAAATACATTTCACATGCAACGATCCCACAAATCCATCGAGTCTTGTGCAATTTCCCTCCGAAAGGATCCAGGTTTTTGGCCTTCAACCTAATCATCCCCCGAATACACGATCGTTTAACAAGTAAATAATTCAAAATGAAAAGTCGAGTCTTCACGTCAGCCCTCTAGGTTCTCCGTAGTGTCCACGACACTCGACCGATACTGGATCCTCTTTCGTTCGCGTGATCGCCAGCCAAAATCCTCGCCCCTCGAAGATACGACGATCGAAAAACGGGGGATAAAAAACTTAAGGGAGAGGGAGGGGGGCTATCAGGGAGGGGAATGGGAAAGTGTAATTTCAGTTTGAAACAGGAACGGTAGAGGCCGACCCACATCGTGGCTTCGAGTGTTTGTATTGCTGACGCGGCGATCCAATCCAATCCAATACCCATGGGCGGATAGACAACACACAGCGCACATACTATGTACCTATATACATATGAACTAGTCTCCCTTTCCCTATCTCTGTCTGCGTCTGTCACCTCACAGCTCTTCTATCGCGCGTCGTTTTCCCCGCTCGGTTTTCCAATACAATTTCGCGGGGTTCGCGTCGGGCGGAGCTTTCATTTTGTAATTAATTGTCCACCATTTATAACATCGGGAAATCATTCCTTTCTTTTTTTGTCTCCTCCTGCCCGCTCCCCGAGTCCTGTGGGACTTTCCAATTAAACCACCACACATCATGCGGATACACGAACCGCTGTTTCGCGGCGAGACTTTCGAGTCTTCTCTTTTTGATACCTTGGAAAGAAATATTTCTTGTTCAATAAAATCAGGAACCAATAATCATTTTAAGAGTACTGGAAATATTGTAAACGTTTCTTTTTATGAACCATGCGTTTTCTCACGATAAATATGGAACTAGTGTTACGGTAACACTATTTTTCTAATGTTTGGATGCCATTTAAAGAAGTTTCGTACCGCTGATACAGGCAAGAAATATTCCAGATATTGTTACTAAAGTGATAATTTCACTGATAAACTAGGTTCACTGTAGTAGGCAAATGCAGTTAGCGGATTAATCTGATTAAAAGGATTAATATTCTCCCCAAATCATAAATAACCCTCTCCCAACTGTTTTTATTCTCATCGTATCGATACCGAGACCATGACCGCCAATTTTTCAAATTCAGTCAAACATCGTGACATTCCTTCAAGAGCCGAGAATTCTTCAGAGTTCAAAAAGAGTCGCGACGAATAGAAGACGTCGCATCGTGTCGGTTCAAAGGAGAATTTTCACGGGACGACGAGTGTCGAGACGCGAGCAACGGCTGCTGCTGCGGGGATTCGGGAAATAAAATTTTCTCCCCGTTCCCCTTTTCGACCCCTTGACGGGATGAAAAAGACTTCCGCGGGGGCCGCGGAAATCGAAACCCTTTAGCCCCAGCTTTCCTCGAGGAGGCGAGAGACCAACCGACTAACTCGAATGAAAAGGCTACCCCGGCGATGGTAAGAGACACTTCGTGCACGCTTCTGCTGGCGTGTATCCGACCACGAGAGGAAAAAAAAGGAAGGAACGAAAGAGATAGAAGAGAAAAAGGAGAGAGAGGACGCTTATTTAGCTTGCCTTTTTACTTACACGCGCTATACAATGTTTACCTACACCCACCCGAGGCATGTAAGATTGCGGGGACCGCTTCGAGAGGGAATAATGTTTGCGCAAGAAGCACGGATAGCGATTTCGATATTCAAAAAAAAAAGAAAACAGAAAAAAGGAAAGGATCGAAGAGAAAGGAAGGGGTCAAGGCTGAAGGCGTTCTCGAGTTCTATACACAACCGAAACGTGGAATCTCTTGGAGATATGTTTAAACAATTAATGAACTGATCACCTATGCTCTGTTTTTATACAGGGTGTTCCACGTAACGCTACTCACTATGTAGTACTCTTCCATTTGCGGCCATGCAACAAAAAGTGTTTTGAACCGAACTTTAATGATATCAAGTGTTCTACAAATCACTCTAAACGTGTGTCTATCCTCGAGCAAGAACTCTCGTTTCACCTTAAAGAATCAGGTGAACACAAAAGGTACTATTTCCTCGAGATTTTAACTCCATCCAAGACCGTAAGAATCAAGAACAGACCGAGGAACACGAAACACTTCCCTTTCAGACGCGAAAGTCATCGATAATATCCCCTCGGCTAAGTGAGATGGCGGTGGCAACGAGGGACATCAGAGAGAAAACGGAAAGCGGCGAAAAAAGGGGGTGGTTGCGTTCTGCCGAAAAATGTGGTGCAAGAGTACCTTGGACGCGAAAAAAAAAATGAACAATGAGCGTGCGTTCCCTATCGAAAGAAGGAGGCCTCCTGTGCCAGGGCCCCCCGTACAAGATGGCGCCAGTAAGCCCGGAGTACCACTCGGGCGATTTCCGGTGGCTTTGTTCCCGCGCACCACTTCGAGGCCGCGCCGCGGCTCTCGGGGAGGGGGCGGTGGTGGTGTATTCGATGAAACTCGAGGTTTAAAGGCGCGTTTTTCAGGTCGGCTGGGGCGGTAGAGGCTACGGCCGTGCGTGCACGCGAGATATAAAGAGGTTTTTCTTCTATGAAGCCAGTTAGCCAACGAACCGGTAATTCCTCCTCCACCGACGGCGGTGCCAACCTCGGCCCCCGACCCCTTCGAACTCCCGCCAACCCCTCTAGGGCCGCCCGCGGCGTAACTTTCTCTGTGCGCTTTGAACCTCACCTTCTTCTTCTTCTTCTTCAGCATTCTCTTCTTCATTCCCGCCACCCTCGTGTTCTTTGCCCCGGTATA